ATGTTTTCCGAAGTCATTAGCAGCGTTTCTTTGTAGGGAGACATAATTCACACTAGTTTGCCACTGTCCTTCTAGATTGTTGAGATACCTTGTAACTTTTATAATGTACAACATCTTAATTGATACTGTACCGAATAGTGACTTGCGTTGTAGGTGCCACGTGTGTGTTCCTTAAGTCGTTGCGACCGTTCGCAATGGGGAGGGCGGTATCTTTGGTCAGGGTGTTTCTGCTGGATGTTTCAAACGTTCTTTTTTTGAATACATCATGTGGGGTTCTCAGCGCACGCCTTTACATTTCGGCGCCAAACAGGATCAACATAGGCCATTCCTTTCTTGAAATTTTGAAGCGAAGGAACAGCATTGCCTCTTTGGGTCCATTCTTGCAAGAGCCGAACAAAATGCCGCAAGATTGCGAGATGATGTGCGTTTGTGGCCTCAGTACTTGCCCCCTACCAAATACAACCTCTAAAGAAAAACAAGAGGTTGAAATTGAATATGAGCTGAGCGTTGCTGCGCGTTGCTGCGCGGAAGTCGGTGTTTTGATTGCGTACACCTTGCGCGGACATCACGCAACTGTTGTTGATCTTGACACTCATTCGCTATGGCAGCCAGACGTGGAGTTGGTTTGACTTGAAATTTGGCTGCAACATGCTGCAACGGGAATGCTTGTCACGCACCTTTGTCGCAGTATTCTGGACTTGGCTCCAGACATGATATTATGGAAAATTGCTTGTGTGTTTTTCCAAGCAGTACACATCCATGCACAACAGCTGAATTGACATATACACATTAGGCCAAACATTTTTTTTTGTGTGTGTGATGGTTTGCCGCGCTCTGTGGAAAGCATGTTATTTGACCGTGATGGAGTCCAAAGTAGGAGGATGAAAAGAAGTATGGAACAGGTAGAGCTCAGGTCCCTGTTCAAGCCACTCCGTTCGCACCGGGAATAAGACAATGCAGCTCTAGCGGTTCATGTGTGAAGCAGACCGTTTTCCCACCTTGACCCCCAATCGCCGCTCCCACTCCATCGCTTGTGAACGCAATCCTTCTTGATGGGCGCCACGATCAAATTTTAGTCGCATTGTGCCACTAGCGTGCGCAACTCTCGTGGGTTGACTTGTCCAAAGGGAGAACCATAATTTGGAAGGCGGATTTTCTGCGTGACAGTTTCAACATCAGGAAGATTGACAGGTCTAAGAAATGCTTCCAATTGGTTTCAGCATGTTTCAGCTTTCTGTGTCTGACAGTGGTCCAATGAGGTTAAAGCAACAGAAGTGGGCACTGAGACGTCTTATGCAGAGCCAACCTTGAATGGCAACGAGGGAAAGGCCAGGCGTGTTGTTGGACGCGCTATGGAAGATCTTTGTATTTGCTACCTTGATACATGTTCTTTGACACAATTTGATTGTTATCTTCTGCCAAAGCAGAAGCACAAGTTGGGAGCTCGAGTGAACAAAAAAGGACCTGCATAGCTCGCCTATAGTTCCATAGCTTCATTCATTTGTAGACTTGATCGAGAGGCCTTGCCCCGACTGCTCGGCGATTCAGTGAAAAGCGCTGCTTGCTCAGCCAGACTGGACTGCTTTCGTTTTTTTTTCCCGAGCCGTGGAACGAGGCACAGGGAGGTATATACAGTATATATCAATGAATACTGGGGACCAACTTCCAAATGAGGTCGAAAAGTCGCTTGCCAAGGAGGCCACAAAGGACAGCAACAGGCCATAGGATGCCACAGGCAAGCGAGAAAATTGGAATATCTCTCAGTGTGAAAAGGTATCGAGCAGTTGACTTTGATTCAATTTGACCAATTGGAAACTTGAAGACTCAAAGAACCTGAAAGACTGGACTAAACACAAACAATGGAAACATTGCAGCATGTCGACCCTGGGGACATTTATTTTTGTCTCTGCTGTTGACCTTAGTCAATTTCACAACCATCGCCTTTCACCAAAATTGTTTTGCAGAGGTGTCTTTGTTCAGAAGAACTTTAAATATATATTACTAATTTTATTGTTTTACTCTTTGCATTGGAGGATAGTTCAGAACATGCGGGCGACGATGGACTCCAGGCTTGAGAGCGACATTCCACCTTCAGCATAGTTTTGCGCTGAAACATGTCACAAATGAGATCTTTTACGAAGACTTTCCTGGGACAAATCTTATGCAGTTTACATAGAATGTCAATGAATGTTAGTTGCTGTTTGTTTGCGGCGCAGACTTGCCAGGTGGGTCATACAGGTTGGATATATCGTCTTGTCATACTGTCCAAGGCGGCATCATCAACGCTTACAGGATCAAAGGAGGACTTGGACGAAGGCAGCTGATGGACTATGGACTCGAATGGACTCGAATGGACTCCGATGAAACGGTTCGGGATGAATGGAAATCAGATGAAAAGGCAAAAGGCGACGGCGACGAAACAAATGAAAAACAAATGAAAAAACAATGACAACAATGGGGAAATAATGGACAAGATGGGGAACTGATAAAGGCGCACGGAAAACCTAGACGCAAGGAGACGCAAAAGAGTCGGGGGATGAAATACTCCAATCAACAAGTTTGCCTCTGGGTATCCAACACGAAGGTCAGCAGAGCAAGGCTTTGCGAAAGCTAGAGAGGCTCTGTCAAATGAAGATTCAGTCCAGGAGTCCAGTTTAGTTGGGCATGTGATCAGCTTCGCTCATGCTGTCCGTTATTCTATATTAGAGCCGTCTTTGCTGCAGCAGGGCGGAGGCCAGAAAGCAAGTCCTTCCGTTCCTGCTGTAAAACTGGCTCAACTTGCAATTTGAATCCATCCTGGCCTGACAGCTTTGCAAATTGGAAGAAATCGATTGATTGATTAGAGCAATGCAGGACTGCAGCAACTCTTGCCGGTGTTAGCCCTCAAAGCTCTGGATTTGCAAAAGAGTTCCTGAAGCAAACTTTTGTGATCTACGTTCTATGCAGCATCTTGATTTATATATTTGCCACGCCAGGCAAAATGGCTTTCAAACTGTCAAGTCCAAGAAGAAGTGGCTGTGGAGGCCGACAACATCCAACAACTCTCTGCATCCTGTTACTTCCTGTTACTGTTGTAACCCAAATGGGCTGCGTTCAGGTCCTACTATCCTTTGCATGCGGCTGTGAAGAAGAAAGACGTGGAGACCGTCAGGCTTTTGCTGACAGCAGGCCAGGGCTCTTGCTATGAAAAGTGTGAAGTGAAGATCCATTTGCCGAAGGTTCGTTTTAATCCACCCTTGGGGAACCCACTCGGAATATGTTTCATTTATCTGGGGCCCTCAAGCAAATCCAAGGGACACATTTACTCTTTAAAGTTGCGCTTTGGTGCTAGTCGATGCCCAAAGGTGCAGATACCCAGAAACTGAATCAGAAGTCCGAGACGTGCAGTCCTTGGATTTTGGAGAGTGCTCAAAGCTGAAAGATGAAGCGCTGAAGAGTAGTCACTCTCGCATCTGAAACAAAAGCTCAAACACAGCTGAAATGTTTGAAACATTTTGAAACAATCAAAAACTGATGCAGCATTTGAACGGTGGAGCACCAGGCCACAGCAGCTCGCAGAGCGTTTTGTGCTTAGCATCACAAGCTGATCAGCACTTCCCAGTTGTTTTTCTACTTCAACTTTTTTCGAAATATGTTTGACTTACATAAACTTACATTTTTTCATGTTAAATCTATATACTTCAACATTATGTGGACACATATCCTAAATATGCATACACATGATTATATACTCCATCATATTCCAATTAATTTCACATGCCAAATATTTTGTAGGATGCAAATGCGCGACTCCAAAACGTAGCAGCAACCCATACATGGGCTTGCACATCGAGTTGCAGAAAGTCACCAAGCTGTGAGAAACGTGTGAAGCGACACGAAGTGACATGAAGTGTCATGAAGTGTCATTAAGTGACCGCTTGAACCTCGCTGGACACTAGGGCTGAATCGAAGTGGATCGCATCAAGAAATCATCGAGACCTTGCGAAGTGCAAAGGCAGCATTGTATTGCAGAAAATCTGCGTGTTTGATTTGATTGGAATTTTACGGTATTTTATGGCATTTTGGTATTCATCATACCTCGCAGAATTAACCCTCTCGCCACGTGAGCTTAAGAATCCTGTCGATATTTCTGCATTCTTGGAAAAAAACGAAGACAGGACGGTCGATACTCAACTTTATCAGATCTATCAGATCAGCACTTTTGAAAGACCGGATTATTTCATGGGAAATCCATGGAAATCCCAATAGTCAAAATAGGTGCAAGTCACAAAGCAAGTCCTTGAGCTCCATGATCCTGACCAGGTTCGCAAGACAAAGTCAACGCGTTCCCGAAGTACGAACGATGAGGACCTGCGAACAACTTGTCTCCAAGATTCAAACAGGATCGAAAAGCTAGAAGTCTTTTCGAGGGACAAACGGGAATTGCTTGTGTACAACCATAATAATCCATAATCTATATATATATAGAACCATATATATATATACACATATATGTATATATATATAAAGGTATATGATGCAAATGCGCTTTTGCCAAAGAAGGAAAACACATCCAAGATGTTTCAGATTTTTCTTGGTCCCGATGTCGTGGTGGTTTGATCAAGCTCTTTCAGCTGCCACAGTGTTTCACACGCGTGCTCCGACCAGGGCAGATCTCGCTCTGCGATTGAGGTCACCCCAAGAGGCGGGCTTCAGTGCAACTTCTACAATCTCTTCGTTCGCAAAGTTTCTCTAAGTTTCGCAAAGGGAAAGGAAGTTATTTGATGCTGTGGCAGCTGTTGTCTTAGAGTACAGATGTCCCTGTCTGCCTAGCAGTCCCCGAGGAGTGTGAGCTGGAATGAGCCGTCCACTTGCAAAGCCAAGGTACACGTGCCCATTTCAAATTTGCATGGTGAGACTCCCTTGTAGGGAAAGCGACTGCACGGGTTGCCGCAATCCTTGCAGTTATCTCTTGTAGTGACAGATTTGCTTTTTAGCATCCCGCCAAACTTCAATCCGTGTCACTATATATCGTCAGCCACTTGTTGCAAAATACTGCGGGATGTCAATTAGCATGATGGATCCGCGTCAAATGACAGCAAATTCGGAACAGCAAATTGCAAACATTTGCACAGATTCGCACAGCCTCGCCCCTCGCTTGCCTTTTCTTACATGAGGCGGCAGGATAACCGTGCCCAAAAAAGCTCGCGTCATTTCTTGATGGCTTCGAGTGCCAAAGACATCTTGACCTGGCAGCCGGCAAGCCCCTCCCTACCCCCTTGGAAGCCACTTTGCATGCGGAAGTCATTTGCTCAGATAGTACGTGCAAGTTCTGGAAGCCAACTTAACAAAGGCAAGAGGACAACTACAGACTAATCTTATAGAGGCATGAGAACTCATTTTGACACCCACAATGGCACCTAGTACGATATACCAAAGACTTCCAGTAGCGGGCTCCATCATGTTGGCCTGCAATGCCTGGCTGCCTCCGCAACCTTGCTGTGCACTCAGTCAGTCCAGCAAGTCCAACAAGTCCAAGAAGTAGTCCAAGAGGTAATTTGTTGGCAGTGTTGTACTATGTTGTACTATGCTGTACTATGTTGTACTAGCATCAGATGTAATTAGATGTCTTGTATCAGATGTGCGTCAGCTTGCATCATGCAGTTTTGACTATGTCATTCCGCCGCGTTAAGGACGATCAGCTAAGATTGCAATGCCACACTACATGATTCCAGGCACACACTCTAGTACCTTTGCGATCCCTTGGGGAAATCAATAGCCGAACTCTCTGAAACCAGTCATCCGCCAGTGGAATGGCTATCTTGAGAGCGAACTTGCCTGGTCTTCTGAACATCACTTTTCCAGTCTATGTCAAATTCATCGTGTTTTGATGTCTTTCATCCACGCTTCATTCCAATGCCCGCAGGAATGCGCTTTCCCGGAGTTCCTCCGCGGCAAATGTCATTGCCAGCTCAGTATCGACAGGCCCAAAACCGGGTAAAACAAGCACAAAGGAATCGAGTAAAAGAAGGGAAGGGAACGAAGGAAAGGGATCCTGTGCAAGTGCGTGTTCGTGTGCACGCGCGCATGTTAGAGATGCAACAGTGTAGACTTTGCAGGCTAGTGATGAGGAAGATGAGCTTGACTGCTGAACACTCAGGAAGCGGACCACCACTTCCTTTTTATGCAGATCCTGTTTTCAGCAAGTGAGCTCTCAGGAACATAGGATATAAATATGCATGATGAGCAACTTACCTTCAGAGCCGATTTCGACCTTCGCTTGGCAAAGGTTTGCCGCAGTCAGACATTGATTCTTCCAGATCTGCACAGAGGTCTTTGTTATTTTGCAAGTTCACACGGCAAAGATGACTTGAAACTGTGTCAACTCGATTCTTCAATTTGATTTCTTGGTGCATGTTGCTGCCATTGATGTGCTGTGCAGTGACGACTACTGCATCCGCCCTGAAGCGATGCCACTGTCGGAGGCCGCGGAAGGGCGCAGCATTGAGAGAACTGCGAATGAATTCGGATACCGGATGCTTTCCACGATTTGAATAATGCCAAAAGATCCAAAAAAGCAAACATGGTCAATGTATTTGCTTACAACCATGCAGTATCATGCAGTTATATAATTCTCCTGTCATGGTGCCATTAAGCATATTATCATTTCCTTTGTCAAGTTTTGCCTGACATGTGAGTCGTGGGACTACCGCATTCTAAACCAGCGAACTGTAGGCATGGATGTGCATGCTATTTAAATAGGCGGGCCACAATCAACCTGGGTCAAAATGCACACTTGTATAATCTACTATTCACATTCTGCAAGATATAGGTCTCTTATTCACAGAGGTTCGTTGGGGATTTCTGTTTCGATGCCTTTGATTTCACAGCCTTCTGAGGAAACTTTTAATGAGTTTGTAGTTCCTGCTGTGAGGGCACGATAGACACATCCAGTCTGCGTGCCCCGAGTTGCTAAGGGCTGCGCTTCCATCCACTCCAGTACAGCACCACATCCTACAGCACCCCGTGCAGAGTGCGTCCAGTGCATATCACTGACCACCCCAAATTTGTGAAAAGCCTCCAGTAATGCCCAATATACGCGCAAGTTCAAGTGTACGCAGACCTTATATGCCCCCGCCGCATCCCAAGCTGACCTGACCGCTGAATTCAAGACAAAATGCATGACGTGCTGGGTTCGGCCTACAGCAATTGGATAAGCTGGGCTTCATTTTTCTACGCTGTTAATTAGTCCTGTATGTGTGAAGCGGCCAAGGCAAGGGAACCACCTTGGTCATAGCGAATAGATAGCCGTCCAAGCAGTTGAGCCAGCGGCGAAAATAGATAGACCGCGACCGAAGGATCGAGGGATAGCCAGCGAGGTTGGTAGGGAGGTAGACAGGCAGACCGACACCCAGATGGATAGACAGACAGACGCCCAGATGGATAGTTGGGTGGATAGATGGGTCAAGGAAGACCAAGGTATTTTTGGATTTTTGGTTAGGTAGACAGGACATACAACATAAACAGAACAGTTCGATAGACAAGAACACACAAAAATAAAACATGCACAGAGATTCACATGTCCATCCGTGGATGCACAGATGACCACCATCTTTGGAAGAACGGTGTGCCTAAAGGCGGCCCTATGTCCTATATCCATGCAGCCATACAGATTCGAACAAGTTCATTGATAAATGCACGACACATGATGACACATGCACATGTACACGCGCACACACACGGAAGCACAAACATGGTTGTCTTCCAACACCTTTGTCGCGCGAAAACACACAGATACATATGTATATATATATATTGTCTAGATTGAATTATTATATAAGTTATATTACATATATATATTATATTATATATACACAGATTATATTATATATAATATAATATATATAAACTATATTATATATGATATATTTTTTTATTATATATGATATATGAATGTTATTTTTAACACATTTAATATGTTGTATGTTATTTCATGTTATGTACATTTTATTAAATTTAGAATATTATATATTATATGCTATTTATTTTGTACTATATACTGTTTTAATTATGATATATTATACATTATTTATTGCATTATATATTATATATAATATATATTATATATTATATATAATATATAATATATAATATATTATATATTATATATTATATATAATACATTATATATTATACATTATATATTCTATATTCTATATTATATATTATATTTATTTTATATTATATATTATATATTATATGTATATTATATGTATTTAAAATATTTTTTATATATTATATTTTTTTTGTGTTAAAGATTATATGTTATATGTTTTAGGTTAAATTCATTTAAATATTACTGTATATGTTTTTTTTTTTTAATATGCTATATCTTATATGTTATATATTGTATATTATATATCATGTAAATAATATTTATATATATATTATATTATATATTCTTTATTTTATTATATATTAAATATTAAATATTATATTTTGTATCAGAGGATATATGTTATATGTTGTATGTTTTTTTTTTGCTATATCTTATATGTTATATATTTTTTCTGTATTATGTATATTTGAATAAAGATATTATATTATATATATTATTTAGTATATAGTGTTTTATATATTTAATATGACATATCATTTATGATATATTAGATATATTTTTTTTTTTGTATATTATATAGATTGTATATATTATATGTATTATATATATTATATATATATATGTATTTTATATTATATATATGTTATTTATATTAGATATAGTATATTAAACTATATATATATATATATTATGTAATGTATATGTATTGTTGGTGTATAGGGTGTACCTAGGATCTGTTCCTCTTAGGTAGCATGATTCATGTTCATGTACCGCAGCCCTTTTGGTTTACCTTTGAAGCAGAGCGCTGAGGAGAAAAGGTGCGCTGGGCTGCATCGAACTAGCGAGCCCAAATTTCCGTTGCATGGTAGCGGAGCTCCTGGTTTGGGAGCTGGAAGCGCCTGGCAAGCGAAATGAGTCCCATGCTCCAAAGGCACAGAGCTGGTTCAGTTCGTGCCCTGGCCAAGTGAGTTTGGCACAGGACTTGGTGATGGAGTCGCCAACAGGAGGAAAAGGGACAGCAAGACTTGGACCAGGTACTACAGCCTTAGAACTTCCCCTTGGGCAAGCGTGGCACGCAATGCAAGCTGGAATGGCTCAAGTGGCACACAGTGCACGACAGAAGTTTGAGTCGCTGGAGCGTGGCCTACAAGATCAGGCCAGAAGATTCCAAGCAGACCTGGGAAACATTGCAAGACGATGGCAGGAAGAAGCGGAGGTATCCCAAGAAGTGATCTCGGAAGATCGTGTAGAGGCAAATGACTGCTCCCAACAGGACGGTGGATTACCATCAGCCAATCAGCTCTGCAAAGAAGGCTCAAAGGAAGTTGGCAAACCTTCCCATGGTGGAGAATGCGGTGCTCAGAGGCTTGTAGACAAGAAAGATGAAGAGGCTTGTGCGCAGGAATGGCCAGGGAGGACAGACTCAGAGACTGAGAGCGACTTGGGTCTTGTCTGCGTGGTTGGTGGATCCAGTGCTGTTTCAGCACGGGCCCATCGGGAGCCCAGAGCTGCTTCAGCTCGGACTCCCACGCCTATGGACCGAGAAACTCCAAGGACCATTGTTCGTCCTGAGTTTGGAGTCTTGTCATGGTTCTGGTCCAGACCCAAGGATGTGGCCATGGCAGAGTGTAGGAAGGATCGGTATGGTGCTGGCCCTGGTTATCGTTGCCCAGTGCCTGGTTGTGGAGGACGTCAAAAGACTTTTAAGACTGTGAAGGATCTGGAACGTCACTTGGGTAGTAAACTGCACTGTCCGGGCCACCCGTATGACCAACAGTGGGCAGCTTGGGAAGCTGAAGCCAAACGTGGCTACTATATAAGGCCTAAATTTCCTGAAGAAGAAATTGCACTGCGCAAGCCGGGCCACTGTGACGATGAGAAGCCTACTTGGATTTACCTTCC